TGGGTAGCGGGCATGGTCACCCGAAACAAAGTCGATGAATATGATTACGTTCGAGAAGGAATGCTGGAAGTTTCGATAAGGTTCATCCTCACTTTGGGTGCAGCTTTAGGAGTTCAAAGTCACGTGAGCTTGTATTTAACGCCAATAGGCAGTCCCTACTAAAGTGAGGAAGGAGGGTCTCCAAAACGTGGAGCCGGAGGAGCGACACTGCTGCGTTTCAAAAATGCAAGGCAACGGCGCTAAGGCCTTGCCTGGTACGCCGCCAGCGCTGCCACACCATACGTGGCGTCTGCGCCCTCTCGCGTACGACGTGCTCTCTCGCGTTTTCCCTCTCCTCGCAGCGCTGTGTCTCTCCGTCATACCACGGCTGACCTCACAAGGGAAATTTCAGTGTTTTCTATGGCAATTTTTGCTTTTTCTTCCACTTACATTCCTCATCGCAGCCCTTGTCAAATTTTCGAACGAACGAAAACCAACTGCCGACCGCTATCTTAAAGGAGGAATTCACGATAAGAACGAAGGTCAAAGAAGGGGAAATTGCATAGTTGGGAGACAGGCGGACCTCCTGAGGGTGCTGACCGACGCGCAATTGGCAGCGAAAGATTTGACCTCGGCGATCTAGCATGGCTCACTCTTGGCGCGGTTGGCGGGGTACGCCCACCGACCATCTAATCACTCGCCGCAGGTCTATACGTGGCGAGTGATTAGATAGCAGAGAGAGCGTGTTGAAGAGGGCACAGCGATGAGAGTCGCATCAATGCTCAAATCGGGCAAGGGGGGACCATTTCTCTAGGTTCTGGGCCGTTTCAAATGATTTTTTTCCTTGCTTTGCTACCTCTCTACCCTTATTTTTAACGAGCTAACTTTTCACCGCACATTCTGCCTTCAAGGGTCGACTTAGGGCAGAGTGGAAGTGTGTCAAGTTCGACCAAGTTCAACGGCACCATTATCGAGTCCGTCAGCCATCGAATGGTATGTAAATATCTGCAGTTTGGCAGGCCACGGTTGAGCCTCAGACCACTACCTGGTGGTGGCCGCTAATGATAACTAGGCGCATTTTTATATGTGATAGTATTCTAGTATTTAGCCCTTGTTATTACTGCTCAGCCTCGCATCAGCATTCTAGAAGCTTTCTAGGGAGGCACAAAGGGTAAAACTTGCTAGCGCTGCACGGGAGCCCGTTTTGAAACTCCAGCTCAAAGTTGTTTTTCCTGCTTGTGTAGGGAACAATGCAGAAATCCCTATTATGGCAAATTTCTGTGCTCATCATGATTCGAAGCGACTGTCCATTATAGGAACTCTACGGAGCTCTACGAGCATATCATGCCTTGAGACAACTACATCACTGCTCCAACTCCTCTTCTCTCTTCATTCATATCACGATTTCTTCCGCCTCACCGAACGGGCTAGGCTTCGGTTGATTCGATCGCTTCAATTGTCCATGCTCCTACGAAATGTAAACAATAGCCGTGATTCCAAACAATCAGAGGAGAAGATTGACAGTACCTTCTCTGTCTTTTATAATACTGGCAAGTCAAGACGATCCCATGCCGTTTATTTCATCCATCGATGGTAGCCATTAGGGGAATGTTTTGCTTTTTATCAAGCCTTTCTGGATTCTAGTAGCAATGCTGACTTATGCACCCAAGAGCCACCACTTCTAAATGTAAAAGAGGATTGTGAGTCCTAGAACTAGGGCCATGTATACGGCTTTGACTTAACTGGTGGGCGAGTGGGCCCCACCTCTCTCCCCTACTTCGGCTTTACCCTAGAAACTCCTGACTTTTGCATCAACGAGGCAGCACTCCTTGTCAGGTTGACTGCTTTTTGTTCAATTCCAAACATGAAAACAGTGATGCGACGATAGATCCGCCGTGAATACGAAACAACAATCCGCCTGAAACGTCAATAGTTGAGGCCGGGTTATTCATTCTATAGGTTCTTTTGTGATTTGACTGCCCTTTTACCCCTTGGATAAGTTAGAGTTTTAGGGACATTGACGCAGGAAAGAAGAAAAACTCAATAAATGGCTTAAAACCAAGAAAATAGGCCTCTTTCTTGCCCGTTGATCTCCGCATTGGTGCTGCTCTCATCGGTGCTCTACCCTAGACGCTACTGATTTGGGCTCCGTACCTGCGGCGAGTGATTAGCCATTGAATGGGCGTACGCGCCGATACCGCTGTCGCAGGAGGGCGTCATGCTGGCCAGGGTGAATATCGCTTGAGGATTCCTCAACGGCACGTCGAGGATTCTCTGCCCGATCAGAGACGATCTCTCGCGCGGACATTCACACTCGCCATGCCGTGCCGTCTGTGCTCTCCGCGCGGATGTTCACTCTCGGCACTACTCTCGCATGGTAGAGAGCTATGGTCGAGGATTTCCTCGACCGTTATTCACCGTGGAGAAAAGTATCGATCATGGGTCGGCGACTATACCGCCATAGGATGTGATTTTGTGGAAACCGCTGCACTGAGGACCTTAGGCATAAGGAGTATCATCCATTAGCTTAAAATGTAATGGGATCAGTTTAATATGGTCTACTAACCAATAAGCAGTAACTGCCTTCCTATTCTCAGTGGATTGACCTAACCTGGCCATACCTAACCTACAAAATTGCATTGCATAAATGAAATTTGGTGCCTTTGCCTTTAACGTCTATTGGTCATAAAGTATTGATTGAGACTCGCCGTATTGTAAACATCACTGTGATTCTTTGTCTATGTGAACATTCCCAATGTTGTAAATGCTGATGATTAAAGATGATAAATGATAACAAAGTGATATAAACGTTAATAACTGATCGTATTCACATTTTATTTTACAAATTCATACAACAATTAGTCAATCAAGGCCATAGCATAGATGTAGATGTGATCAATGAGGCAACAATGTCCGCAATTGCACTTGAAAAACAATACAGAAATCATAGAAAGAGCTTAGTTTTAATTAACCTAGAACGATAAATGGACACGAATGATGAGCATAACGTTCACATATGGGCAATACAGTACACTTACAGTAATACAATTCTACTATTTCATACTCTTTACAGTAGTGATTCTCAGTAGTTACAGGGCATTTCTTCTGACCTACACAATATGTATGATACCTAGAAAACACGTTCAAACACAGGGTAAGCAAAGCACCTAAACGACGCAGGGTACGCCATGACTGGAGGGATTGGCCCTTATGCCCATTCAAATAGGTAGATGACACTAGGGCTAAGCCCAGGAGAGGGGAAAAACGCCAGGGAGAACACAAATCGCTCACATCCTCCTCCTTTTTCTTCCTAAAATTTGGTCCCAAGCCCAGTAATTGCCTCACTCACTTGAATGTCCCCCCCCCCCGAGGTAATTTGTAGGAGAGTAGGTCTTATTAGAGTTCCAGGAAAGGGATGGGATCGGCAGTGGCTTTTCGGCAAGGATCATAAGGTGATTAGGATGCAAAAGGGATCTAAAAAGATGGTGAATATTTGAGGTCCTATCGGCTTTCGTTACTCCTTTCATTTTCAGGTGCACCGCCCCCCCCCCCCACACACCATCCCAAACAGAGTATTTGGGAAAGTTCATAAATGAGGTGTGCTGAAGTTGGGCAATTAGGGTGAAGAGGACGAAGTCGCAGTGGTTAGTAAGAAAACCAGAAAGGGGACAGGAGTGTGAAATTGAGGGGAGCGGCATTGATTCCAAACCTTTCTCGAATGCATGGCGTACCCTGGAACGAGGGGTCCAATGGGATGGGATAAAAAATGATGGCACATAGGCTAAATGCTTTGCTTTGCTTTCACCCATTATTACAAAAAACACTACGTACATCGAGGTAAATGTCTATTAACAACTAAAACCTTCTTGTGGAAGGATAAGGAGGGCTGATTCTTGAAGGGCAACTAGTTGGACAGTAACTTTTACAAGTAGATCTCCTTGAGAAAAGTAACTACACTTGATGGCAACCTAAGTAAAATCTTACAGTCGGAGCTTTCATGCTTTGAGTTCTAGCTAATCTATTCATTTTGTTCTTGGCCAACAGCAGCCAAGTACAACATAAGGTTTTTCCTACCGTAACTACCAGCTACATACCAAGCAGTGTGCTTGAGGCAGACTTTCACCACAACTTGTTGTTGCTTTTGCTGATACCACATTTACACTTACCGTATCCTCTAGTATACTGTATCTACTGGTATAGTGTAATCACAACGAAAAAGCCAACAGTTGTGGATAGATTTTGATGAATAGGACGATTGACAGCAGAGCTTTTCTCTGCAACGTTACCTACTCGCTTAGGCGGCACGTTCGAATCGAGGCAAAAACAGTCCAAATTTGTGTTCGATGCCGCTGAACGTCGCCGCGGCCAAACGGTATCCGCCAATATGGTCCGGATTCAAGGAGCTATCGTCCACAATCTTCTTCGTAGTGGCGGACTGAAAAGTTTGCCTTCAAAATGAATCTCTGAACATAGGATAAATAGTAGGATAAAATGCCTGGAAACATGATCAATGAAACAATCCAGAACAAAATAGTAAAGAGCCCATGCACTTCTGTTCCTCGACGAGAACTCTGGAGCAAGATTGAGAACATAGGATAAAGTTTTGTTTAAAGAGACAGCACGTTGGCTGGTGGGGGTTGCGGTGTTGATGACGTCATTGAGCGCCATTGGCGGGAAATTAATTGAGATCTGAGCCACACTCTCAGGACGCGATGAAAAGGCTAGTCCAGCAGTGAAGTTAATACTTCTCAGCCGCCTATATCGTGATTACTGCCTTTAGCGAAGCGTCAATTAAAATTTGAATGCAGTTGGTCGCCAAGGAAGCGAGAAGCAGCGCTTTCACGACGAAAGGGAGCTGGTTGCTGAGTAGTACTTAAAAGTGCTGCGCCACTATTAGTTAGTAGATGGCGAGCTGTGTTGCCAGCAGCAGCACAACTGGAGCAGCTCGACTGGAGCATGGGTTGGCATAGTGCCACCAAAGGCGTTGCGGTAAATTCGTATATACGTCCGATTTCTCGGCTGCTGCTCATCCTTGAGATTCAGCCAACTTGAGTGATTCACTGGACGCGACGCGACCGCAGGCGCTAGCGAATCGCGCGATTCGCAAAGTCTGACATCGGCCTAACCCTTCAGGCCTGTCGTTAGCGCTGCCTTTGACATAGCACCGCTCCAGCCATCGTGATCACTGCCATTCATCTCTTTTGGCTGGTCTGTGTATCCGAGCTAAGGACAACGAACAATTAAATTTCTAGGACGACCTTGATTTCAACACTGTAATCTTGTATGAGTCAACCTTGGTATTTGTGTTGTTCTAGCGGCGACTAGATTTGAGCGCCCAAATGAGGACCACAAGCTGAAGTGGCTGCGAGTGAATGGCACGCTCTGGTTATATCCCTATGATGATAAGAGTATGTATGTGTGGCACAATCCAGCGGAAGGTCCGTCCAAAATCACTTAGCACGATATTGCCGCAGTAACAAAGGAATGTGAATGAGTGACAACCCTTCTATAATGTGACCGTGACCTTAACAAGCTATTTCCGGGCTTAATGGCCCTAGAGGACTCCTATGAGAACGGCAACAACATCTCCTTGCAAGAAAGGGAACCGCAGTTTTGCAATGAAGGAGCCTAACGAAATTCACTGAACATTAGATTAGACAGTTATTTACAACTGCAATACAATTTCGCTATGAATAATGGCAATAAACGGCCAATCCAACTGCTCAATACCAAAAAACGAGTAGGGAAAGTATTCACCTCCGATCCGGCTCCGGGACAGAGTAAGCGTCCGAAATCGAATAGAAGATCTTTGAATGGCACCTGATTCAACAATTTCACAATGAATCATTTATCTGAAGCGCTACTTGCAAAACCCGAAGAACTTCAATTAAAAAAAGACCGTATTCTTACAAAATGTGCTCACCTCATAGGCAAGCAAGGTGACAGCGAACTGTGGGCTGGAACGACATACACGAGCAGCTGTACCTTTCCAAAATGCGCTGCTGGGCCTTCTTCTTCATAATTTTACGAGCGCAGTCTAAATGGTCAATATGGTGTAGAAGGGCGTGAACGCATTTGAAGGCGAAGTGATTTGCGATGACAAGTGGTAGACAGAAATCAGTAGAGTGTCAGATGATGCACTGTGCAAGCGAAAAGCGCCGTGAGAAAAGCCTAGAGCCGTAAAAATGAGATCCCTCCTTTGCTTGCTCATTTCTGTATCGATGCGAATCTCAACGCTGCTGCCCTCTTCAACGCCATCGCTCTCTCTGCTAAGCAGAGACTAGAGTCAGACGGTGGGTTATAGATCGCTGGCGCATAACAGCTTGCGCGAGCGAGCGTCAGCGCGTCGTCTGCTAGACCACTGATTGCCAGAGTACCTCTCGTTTGGCGATTGTGGCTCGCAGCTCCTTGAGGCCCTCGATTTAAGTATATCTGCTCTTGCGAGACTTCAACCTCACGTGGATTAACTCATGAAAAAGAACGATTAATATTTAGCAAGTCATTAGATCACGCCATGCATTCGACGTCCGTTCGCAATCGTAAAAGATTATGACAAGATGACAACGCCCAAGGTTAGTGTGAACACAGTGGTACAAGGTTGTAGATATTTTAGAAGACGTTTCTTATTCTCCAAACGAGCCTCATGGTAAATAAACAGCATGGAAGCCGGAGCTTTGGACGACCAGCATGGCGTTCGATTAGAGCATGGTTATTTTCACGATTCCTTTATCATCGTCTTCAGATATAGTCATCCGATATCAGACCAAACAGGATGATTGTAAGTGCACCCATGAACTCCTGCTATGCAAAGACTGCTTAAGCCAACTGTATTTGTAAGTAATCAAAATCCAAAAGGGTTGGAATAATGACTTGTTGGATATTATGAAGTAATAAAAAGAAAAAAAGAAAGGCAGAATTATTACAGCGATCGAAGAAGCTATTGATGCACAATTGCTCTCACCTATAACTCCATTGTAGGTAGTCTGTCCGGCTCTGGCGGCTACTTGTAACCTTGTTTTGATGACGTCAGCCGGAGTGACCAAACCAGCAGCGGGAACACCGGCGATGAAAGCAGACGCAAACAAGGAACCCGGATGATTAATTCCCTGCAAATTACACATGCTAGCAGGGATTAAGCAGGCCATCTTAGTTCAACAATTCCTTGATATGAGAAGGAGAAAGTGGAAAAGAAACTCACATCTTCATCAGCTGTGGCCAATTTCGCATGTGCGTATGTCGGGAAATAGATCGCCGAGAATGGAATGTCACGGAGGAAACATGCCCGAGCACCTTTGTACAGACCAAGGAAACCCAAATCTTTCATCACCGTGAATACGCCTATCTAAAATTAGACGGATCAAGAAGTAAAGGCTGACAATATGAAAAACCGTTTGTTGATGATGGGGGAAAGATGTCTACTGCAAAGGGTTTCCTGGGTAATATTTCTGATCAGGATTTCCTGATCAGGAAACGCTTTCAACTTCTCATGAATTTTTTAGTTGCGACCTGGAAATTGATACCGACAAGAATGCGGCTTAAAATATGGGACCAAATCTGCTAAAGAAATTTCCAAAATAGTTGTGAGCCATTAAAGTTGGCAAGAAATGCAGCGTCAATAGATGGTGCCAGCTACCAGCATCAGCTTTTCAACCTGTTGCGGACTGCCACACAAAAAAGGATAATTATAATATATTTTATTTATTCAACACAGGCTGGTTCAAAAGTGATAGTTAAGCCTTTTCGTGCACTAGAAATATCGTATACTTATATGCTCGATAAACTCTAGGCCGATCAGCACGATGCTGATGAAACGGTACAGTGAAGCCTACGAGCTTACCAGGAAGGTCTTTCAGGGCGTGACGAGCTTTTTGAAAACGGTCTTTTGCATGATATAGGGGCAGATGCGGGGACCACAGAACCATGTTTAATTTTTCCTGAACGGCCCTCTGAATACCAGAAAAGGGGTCCCTAGTTCGATTCCTCTTGGTGACAAATTTTTGCATTTCGAGTTGACGTTCCAAAATTCGCGCAAAATGGAGTTCTGATTGTTCTGGTTGGTTCTAACTCCATTTTGCGCGAATTTTGGCACGTCAACTCGAAATGCAAAAATTTGTTACCACGAGGAATCGAACTAGGGACCTCCTTTTCTGGTATTCAGAGGGCCGTTCAGGAAAAATTGAACATGGTTCTGTGGTTCCCGCATCTGCCCCTATATCATGCAAAAGACCGTTTTCAAAAAGCTCGTCACGCCCTGAAAGACCTTCCTGGTTAGATAGCGGTGTCCTCATGTTAAAGGTGTGAGTAGATTGGCACGAATATGACATTCATTTTCGACATGGGGACCAGCTGGCGCCAGCTTGGGCACTACAGCTTATTTCTTGCTGCTTTATTTCCCAACTTTGACGGCTCAAAAATTGACTAGTATTCCTGATCCTATCGGATTTTCTAGGTCTTTTCGAAGATCCATGGGAGCATGACTGCCTTCGCGAGAAAAATGAGTGGAAATTTGTAAGTATTGCAGTGGAGACTCAAAACGTGCGAACGTACCTTGCTTGCTGACTGGATCTCTCCGGCAACTTGGAGACGAATCTTCACAATCTCCAATGGATTCGTAAATATAACCTAAAGCATAGCGGATTCAAGCTTCACTGTTTTGATACTTATTTCTTACCAGATTAGTCCCCCGTCAACCGCGCGGGACCTTCCTTTCCTGCGCAAGCTTTCTATCCTCCGCTATGGTCCCTTCCTCCTGTGACACCAACACCTCCTGGAAGTGACGCGTATGCAACACAATGGTGTTTCATACAGTAGAAGGGACACAATCATGATATGACGGTAGATTTTTCGCTTCCCTTCCTCATCCTCCCTTCCTCTCTCCACTGCCCTCCAGCTGCCACTGCAGCACCATGTGGAATGAACGGAAGTGTGCTAAGCAGGTGTTTATATAGCCCTAAGAGTGTTATCACAACTATCCTGCTACAAAACATTGATATCTCAAATCCTGTAAGCTACCCGATTTGTTAGCGGTTTGTTTATCCCATGAGCTTCCTTCTCACTCACTTCATTTTGCGGACGGACACACATACACATACATACACACACATACAGATACACAAACCGACACACAAAGTTAGCGCTTTATAAAATAGAAGGATAAACTTTGCTTCACCTAATTCGCAGAAAGCGTTCTGCCGAAGCATTTTTAACAGACGTTAATGCTTGAGCTTCCCTTTCCCAGCTTAGAAAGCTCATACTCCCATCCAGCAGCATAAATAAATAAGGATGGTCAGTCCTTCGTTGTACTTTCTGTAAAAATTTTACGACCCCCCCAAAGGTGGATTGACCCTTTCGCGACCCACTTACCCACTTACCTACTCTCGCTGCTTCGTATTAGGGAGGGGAGGGGTATATACGCGCGCTGAAACGGCGAATTTTTCTCACCGTGCGCTCCCAACTCACCTAGCCTACTACTCGTGGAAACTCGAGTTTCACCACAAACTGAAGCGGATACGACCCCCCCTCCAAGCTAAACCAAGTACGACCCCCCGCCGTTGGTACTTGTACCAACGTAGGGTTGACCCTGGTTCCAGCCCGTTAGTTGGTCATTGGTAATCGGATTATCGGAAGATAACAAAAACTCGACTCGAACCGAGTAATCATGTTGCGGCGGTCGAGCGTAGTAGTTCAGTATCTTGCATGCCTTATCTACCCACCTGTCGAGGCCTTTCCAAATTCTGCTAATCCAAATCAAAATGTGTTATATTTACAAAGGGTCCCATAAATATTGCACCAAATTTTGAGCTCAAATTCTGAAGGTGTTTATGGCTTTTCTTCCGAGATTGCAGACCTTTCAATCCTCTATCCTCTTGTCAATGACCATGCCAAATTCCACGGCTTACCGTTCGGCCTGCATCTCATGGTGCGCCTAAACTTCAAAAGAGTGCCTCTCTCACACAGCTAGGTCGGACATCCGGTGATGAGCATCGCGCTTCTTTGGATTTTCAACCGCTCCGCGGCCTACCGTGCACTAAAGAGAAGACCAATGAAAGTAGTCTTTGTTGTGGCCGCCCACAAGTTCTGACATCTTGGATCTCAGGAAAAGCATGAAGAAGCGAAACGACTGCAATACCCGGGGTTGGCTCGAGAAAGGTGACCAGAACGACTAGCCAGAGTTTCTGAAACACAGTCATGTAGAGAGTGGTCAGATAACAAGTGCTCACAGTCCATTATAAGTTGCATAAGCACCACTGCTCAATCCAACGGGAGGAGCACAGCAGAGACAAAAAGTTCAAAGAGCTGGTGTCGAGGGCCGAAATGGCGGGATCATCGCGTTTGAACGTTTCCTCGCGACAAAATTCCCTGCACCTGAGCTAGCTACGTCTTCAACTCTAAGGGTGACTACAGTGGTCTTGAGAAGTTAGCTGAGGGTTGAAAAGAATATTCCCACATAGCTGCCATGCCGGATCTATAATGGTTGGACGGGTCTCAACAGCGGTGCCCACTCATCACTGCCCGTTTACTGAGGCATACAACCTGATACTAGACCAAGCCAAAGAACATTTCAGTTCACCATCTGTTACTGAGGTATCTATCCTTTTTGAGGAGGGGCGATGATCCTTTCGATAGGACCCAGCTTCTGCATAGGAGGAAAAAATGTTTAAGGAGCGCTCTTCCGTTTCATTTCACATCCTCGAACGAATGGCTCTCCTTGATTTCAACGTGCTGGACCATCCTATGTGGGCTATTAGGGGGCAGAGCCTGCACTAAACATTGCATCCACATGGATGAGCCGGAGCCTTTTCTCTGCAAAGTTTCGAAGAGAACACCCCAGGATGCCATGCGGGCCACAGTAGAGTTGCGTTCGAAGCAATTGGGAGCCATACTCACAACAACAGGGGAGCATATCCAATGAATGTCATTCCTTTCAATATGTAAATGTATTGCTAAAATTTTGTAAAACCTCTTGAAGATACATCCATTTTGAAAGAAGTTACAAGTAAAGAAAAGTGGTGCAATATTTATGGGACACCTGCGCTAGTCTAATTATTTATATTACTGTATTATTTACTATTAAATTATATCTACTTGATATTTTATTCGCTGAGCTCCTTACAATGAGACTACTTGGAGTTGAACATTATGAACCGATCAGCGCTTGCTTTTGCGAAGGATCAACTCCTCGTGGACGACGTATTAACCATGAGCCTAGCTGCTGTCTGCTTGCCCCAGCTAGAAGTGAGCCTTTTCTACTGATCGACAAGAGTTTCTCTCAGTGGCCCCCAGAGATCACTCTTTTTTAGGATGCGCCACGCATGTTGCTTCCATTCGGAATAGTAGTGGTATTTTGAATGCGATCTGGACAATGAAAATTACTTGCAGAGTCGTTATACAAGTCAGCCTTTCACCTTACCGGACATTTCTGATACTAATCAACCAACTTCTAGAAACGTAAGGATTGGATAGCCTGAACGGCGTGCTTGTTGGGATTGGATCCCCGGATCCTACACGAGTTGAGCAGCGCCTCGCCACCTTAGCATTTCCGCCCACTGGTCACAAAAACAGATGACAGTAAAATAGATACCTCCGCCAAACGGCTCGATAACTTCCCCCGGAAAGCACCCAGTACAGATGTTTTCGCGGCGGGAATAGTACGTAGCGCGTGGGGTACTGTGTGCAAACCCAGCAAAGCCAGCATAACGTGCGATGCCGCACTCTGGGCTGCTAGCAGCCAACTCATCCAAATTTTCCTCATATTACACTCTTTTCAACTGTGAGACTCTTTTTTTTGCTTTTCGCATACTTCATTTGAAGGGGCATGTGGTGCAACAAAACATGCTGCTCCTAGAGTAGCCCCAAATTTTGCAGGAGAACCCCCTGCGGGTGGATGTTGAAGCGAAAGCAAAATATTTAGTTTATGCAGGAGAGTGATCTGTCCCCTGAAAAATTGGCATTACTGTAGATGGCACATTCTCTCGAACCACATGCCCCTTCCGCTAGCTGGAATTGATCCTATTCATTTATTTGTGCTGCTGTTATATTTCGCGAGAATAAAAACGGGTTAAAAACCCAAAACGGCGGCATAAAATTAAGAACGCTCCATTCTCCAGGAAAGAATGCAGTGAATATCCGAATGGCACGCCGTACCTGACTGGCTCCAGCACAACCACCGGCGAGAATTTCCGCCCAGAGCGGAATTTTGCCGTCATGGCTGAACTTATCTCTGACGAAGTCGTTCATCGTCAGCTTGATGGCTTTTTCAGGAGCAACTCCGACGATTTGCGGCAGCAGGCCACGATAAAGCCCCAGAAGGCCTAAAATGATGAACGGTAAGATATTTTAGCAAAAAATCTAAGTGAGCAATTTTCACCTACCTTCGAATTTAATGACCTTCCTGAAACAATCGAGACTGTTCTTGTACATCAGTTCACCGACAAACGAGCCTGTTCGTTGATTCTGCATTCGGGTTTTCACCAAATCTATGGGGTAGACGGCGGTGGCACCGCATGCTCCTGCTATTGAACCAAGCAAGAAGCGATATGCGGATTCCAACACCTGAAATGAAATGTATCCAGTGTCGCTTTTGGTGGCATGCAGTAGCTGAGAGCGCTACTTTACGCCTGATGGTTCAATTGATTAAATTATTCTGGATGCTATTCTATCAGGTTGGTCCATAAGTCTTGCAACAAATTACATTTAATGCTAGAAATTTTTGTGAGAACTCCAAAAATTCCGCAACATGTTTGTTGACGTAGCATCCACCTTTGCAATTTCAGCCAACCGTCCAGCTCGTTGTCTCGCTACTTGTTATGGATATTACACGATTTCGCGAAAGGTCTTCGTGCCCTTAATTTTTACGAGTACTGCTTGGAATGTTCCGCAAGTCATGCTACACCAAGGATTAGCCAGAAGATGGGCGAGGGCACGCTCTTCTCAATTCACGGTGCACCGGCGCTACACTCTGCTCAGCGATGGCTTTTTTATTCGAAGATGATCCACACTCCAACACACCCCGTGAGTGGCAATCACGATGCTCTACCTGACGCTGTTAAAAAGGGTCCGCCTAGAGTATCGATCATTTGCCGGAGAACTTCTGATCCAACCAGGAAACAGCACTGAGGCATCTCCAAATAGTTGCGAAGTACCGGAAATATAGAGTTTCTATCCCACATGTCCTTAAAGGACGAATTCACGATGGAAAGCAACCCATTTCAAATTAACCTAGGGATGGTGAGTGGTACACGAAAGAAGGAAGAACCATGAGAAACGGCCCAGAACCCGAGAAATGGGACCCCTTCCTTCCCGCTTGATTTGCGCATTGATGCGACTCTTATCGCTGTGCCCTCCTCAACATCACGCTCTCTCTGCTATCTAATCAATCCCACGTATAGATCTGCGGCGAGTGATCAGCTGGTCGGTGGGCGGAGATCGCCAGACCCGCCAACTTTGAGGCATAATAGGTCGCCGAGGTCAAATTTTTCGATGCGAATTTGCATCAGTTCGCACCCTCAGGAGGTCCGTGGGTTACTCAACTAGGTGAATTACTTCTTCCTCGACCTCCATTCTAATCGTAAATTCCTCCTTTAAGTTCCGAGATTGGGCTCCAAACCGACATAATGAAATCAACCATCATGTTTTCAAGTCGACTTACTAAAGGGTTTTACGACTGACCATTCCATCACATTTGCCGAAGATGAGGAGATGGTACAGTGTGCTAACCAAATAAACAAGCGGCGATAGTCCAGCTCAAACGCTTTGGGAGTTCTTACTGCTAAAGTTCAACCTCGTCCAAGTAGGGCCTTCTCGGATTTTTGGTGGAATACGAGGAGTTGAGCTCTGGAAACCCCTACGTGTAGATGTCGCAGTCAACGCGGAAAGTCAACCATCCACAGCTCGATTGCAACGCTTTTAATACGAAAGAAAAACAAGGCAAAGTTTGCTTTTTATGACACCGTTGAACCACCTCTTGCTAAGAAAATTCAGGAAAATTTTGAGACTCTCGGACGGAGAGTTCTTCCGTATCCACGTTATAGCCCTGACCTCGTGGCAAATAATGCCCTTCTGCTCCCCTCTCCAAACCACCTCCTAGAGAAAATCTCATCCTAACCACAGTGTGTAAAATCAACATATATTTTTATTCGCATCGGAATTCTGCGTATGTTTTGGCTGAAGAGAGGGCAATTGAACAGCTTCCATCGCGTTGGCAAGAAGCTGTAGATATTGGTGGTGTGCATTATGTTGGGTGAACGGAACAGAAAGATAATCAAAATACTTAAAATCAAAATTTCGCCAGTTGTTGCAAGACTTATGGACCAACATAATAGATTTTCCTTCTCATTGGACTGGTTGCTTACTTTCCGCTTCTCTGTCAACAACTTATAACAGGGACCTTGTCAATGGAAGATGCTTGGAGAAGGGAACCAAGTCTTGTACAGGGAGAAGATTTCTATGTGGAATCGCTGCGGAAGCTCCCAGTAGTAATGCCATTTGGAACCAATTTGCTTGAGTGGGTAGGATTCGATCTGAGAGAGCGCGCAGGCAATGACTGGCACCATATCGGTCTTTTCAGAAAGCATGCGACCAGGGATAGAATCTGTCGAGAAGAACCCCCACGAGTGGGTCACATTTTATCTAAATAGGCCGATGTCCATATTTGCGAAGCGAGCGATTTGCTAGCGAATCAACTGACTACGAGCGACTGCGCTCAGCGAAATGACGTTGCCCGCAGCAAATCCACCATGTATCAGCTAGTTGAACGATGTACGAGCGACTCGGCGCTACTTGAAAGTGGCAGGACCCAACGTTTAAGAGGAAGTCCATTTCAAAGAAAGACACTGTTTGAAAGTGGCGGGCTTCCTTTAAACGTTGGGTCCCACTTTCAAACAGTGTCGACTCGCTGGTACATCGTTCGACTCGCTGGCGCAAAGTTCGATTCGCTGGTGCAACGTTCGATTCGCTGGCGCAACGCTCGGATCCAGCGATTCGCAAACTCTGACATCGGCCTAAGGCGGGGTCGTATTCGAGGGTTGTTCGAAGATTCGCTTACGAAAAAGTAGCGCAAATATAGTAGAAAGTTGTGGAGTAATATTTCCACGAATTTGGCTATGGGTACCCTACTGGTCGGTGGAATTTACCGCGGAGTTGATAAGGTGGACAGATGAGCGGTAATGACTCCAAGGGAAGTAGATGATGGTGAAAGGAGGGGAGAGGCGTTCGTGAAAACAAATATCAACTTTTCAGAAATTTCCAAAAACCAAGAAGAAAAACAGAAATGTGATCAAAATGACAAATAAAAAGCGAAAAACATACCGCCGTCCCAAAACCTCGATCTTCTTTGCTAGCCACGGCTTTCACGTTAATGAGTCGTTCGACATACGAAACTCTCTTCAGGCGCTCTGGATCAATGAGGATAATGTCTTTCAGTGAGAGTGTCTTCTTTCCAGGATGAGCAAGCTCTGACAGGTGAAAGAGGATCTCGACCTAGAAAAAACCGAAGTTCTGTATTCCTGAAACCAAGGCAACTCTGAGAAAAATGATTCCGCATTGCAATTTGAAAGGGTAGCAGATTTTGGGATTCGCCTGTGCGCTGTTTGATCCCTATATTAAAGGGAATCTGACGTAGAGGTCAATTGGGAAGAAAAATGTAAAGCTGTGAAGATGGGTGATATTCTGTCAATATGGAGGTGCAAGAAGAATGCCCATTATGACCAAGACAAGGCCGAAGGGTCTTGGTAAGGGCATTGGATCGTGAGAAAAGTAGTGGACTCGAAACCTATAGCAGGCGACCGAAAAGGGCTCAAGATATATGCAGGAAGGATATCAGGGAGGAACTTAATCGAGCCAGGACATATTAGACTATTTCTTGGGTAGTAAAAAATGGCATTAGCTACCTCAAGCAGTAGAATTCTGCGATAGCTCGTTGGGATAAAGAAGAGGCAATGCAGAGCTCACAAGAGGCGTGGCGTAAGAGGCTCTATTGATGAGGAGCAGCATGTCTACGTGCATTTCACAGGCTTACGTCAATGATTGGCCCTAGAGAGGTCAACTCACGTCCTCAAAGAACGATCAGGCGGTCTTTGGCGCACGTTAAAAACCAGTGGATATGTTGCCAACTTTCGGTCGAGCACTTTAGAAAGTTGTTTGGGAAACGGCCCGAGGTATGAAATTGCAAAAGGAGGGCATTCATGGGAAATACAGAAAGAAATTTCTAGAAAAAATGAGACGATCGAGGAAAGAAAAAGGAAGGCAGAAATTGTGGAATGAGATTCGCTAGCCAGAGTAGTCTCCAAACAATCAAATTTCGAACACTAAAATAAGTAAAAAAAATGGAAATACTGTAACCCACCTCATAAGGGGTGATCTGAGCATAGCTCTGAGTAGCTTGCAGAAATTCCTCCTTGGTCATTTCGAGATCCAGATTACCTCTAGCTTGACTCAAGTAAACTCGCTTGATGAGCTCCATTTTTGCCAGTAAACTGTTAAAGGCCGCATAGTACGGGAATGTGACCTAAAAACGAGAAAAATACAATTTTTTGGAATCAAAAGTGGGACTTCCCCGAAATTGAAGCTCTGGACATGGACTTTCTAGTAACTGCCAACAAATGGCATTTGCTAACAAAGTTGATCAGATAGACAGAGGTTTTTAATTTGACTTCACTGAAGCAAAGGACGTTTTGGAACTGTTCCAAAGAAAGCAAAGGCACTATGAATTAATATTTGGGCAAAACATTGCTTTGCTGACGTCACTTTTTCCCATTCAGAGTATTGTCGTCCGTGAACGATGCAACGATGGAAAGCATTTCAGCTTTCAACCAGGGCGAGCCAAAGTCAGGGATGGTGAGGGTAATGCTCGGCAATCTGGGATAAAGGAGGTTGGTAAATGGGGGGGGGGAGAGTGAACTGACGGTGTATTTTCGGAGAGGAAGTAAGACCTAGTAAGACTTAGTAAGGGTGTAAAGACTTTCTCAATGATTTGTAAAACCATGTATTTAGAAAATTTCACTAATTTAAGGAAGCCGGAAATTTTCTGGAACCTAGACCGATTCTACTAGATTCTACCTCTTGAACTCATTTTGGAGAAAATCATATTTATAAGGTCACCCTAAAAGTTTCTTGAGAAAATCAGGTATAGTCGTGTTTGAGTAGAATGGAGGAGGGTCAGATAGAAAGGTGGTAAGTGGGGGAGGGGG